ATAAATTTGTTAGTCTCTAAGGTGCCACAAGTACTCCTGTTATTTTTGCGGATACAGACTAACACGGCTGCTACTCTGAAACCTATTTATTCATTGACACAGTTCCAGCTGCTTCCACATAGCACAGCACAGGCTTCTGCAGCACTCCTTTGCTAAACTTCCTGTCTAGGAAGTTAAACCATTTCAAGGTACAGTTCCCACTACCACATCTTTTTTCCCCCAGCAAAAACTTAATAATGATAACACTGTACAAACAACATAGATATAACACATACTTCCAAATACTTGTAACCAAGCTGCTAAAAAAACTTGTTAACAATGTTCAATTCATATCTGTGATATTTTGCACTGTTGCTTGGACTTGCAAGTTTCCCATGAAATATCAGTGCTACTGTTGTCAGACGGTAGTATATTCATTTGTTCTGGCAGTGTTAATGTCTCAGGGCTTGATTGTCTTAATCTGTTGTGGTTGTGGCCTAGCTAAGACCTTCTCAGGCAAAATGGCAAACAAAGTGCCCCTTATCTCCCTGCCTTCTGCAAGTAGGAGAAGGTGTTGCCTATTGCTTAGTATATGTCTGTCTGAGTTTACCACCTCTAAAACGTCAGGGCAGCCTCATGTGATACCATTGCTGTTTGCAGCTATTAATTTCCATCATAGATGCGCACTGCATCATTTTCATGAAGTAGTGGCAGCTTGCAGGATCCCCAATCACATTACTTAATTGTTTGATTGTTCAATTGGTTGTTTAGCTTTATCTGTCCCTTTATACTTCTGCAAATCCCCAGTTCCTCTGACAACTTCTGACGTTACAGACATTTTAGTTCTCAGCTTTCTCTTAAACATAGTATAGGTAGGTTGTTACCTGGGGTTTTCAGAACCCCCAACAGGGGCAAATTAACTATTTCACTCCAGGTAGTGTAAGGAATAAATCAACAGGAACACAGTACTTCCCTTTGATAGAGCACCCTTACTTGCATGAATCCTATCTAAAACTGCAGTTTATTAGATTTAAGCAAACACAAACATAAGCAATAGGTTTAGAACATCCCAGATATTTACTTAACATCTGGAATGGTACTGAGTAATTAACAGTGGGTTTGCAGTGGCCAGTTGCACACCCATTGGGGAGAAAAGGAGTCAGAAAAAACATCTCTTAAGATGGCTTCAGAGGACTGATCCAAAGTACACTTTATTAGCTAATCTTTTATAAGTAACTTTTACAAAACACATAGGTCATAATGACCCCTACTGTATCATCACTTTTTTTAACTTTCTATAAACTTTTAATATCAGAGGCATCTAGATTCAAGGTTTTCCAACCACCAAGGTTTTTAGTTTCAATTGTTTACTTGTTTGTCCCTCCTCCCATTCTGATTAGCAGAAACTTTATCGATTTTTGACCTTGCTTCTGAAAGTCTGTCTCCAAATTAACCCTTAACTATGTGGTGTTCTATTTCATTAATTCAGGGTGGCTGAATGCACATAATATGGTTGCAATTAGCTTGACCCCATTCTGGGGTATACACACTCCTCAAATCCAGGGCAACAAGGTGAAAATCCATGTTTCATCCTGAAATTTTACAGTTCTAAGTATGGCTCAGAGGCCTATTCTGCAGTCCTTATTAGTAGCCGCTTTATTAGCCGGACGCTTTAATGAGGACTAGTAGTTATGCCTAATCCCAAACTTCATAGCAAATTGCTTAAACTCCTGCCCACTAAATTGCAGCCGATTGTCAGACATTACAATATCAGATATGTCATGCCTAGGAAGAATATAAACCCAGTTGTTTGTTTAGCTGAAATATTTTCTAATAAAGCTATCTCAGCTGAGTAAGAATAATAGTCTAGGACAAGTACATCATTGTTGTTGTTGTTTTTTTCCCCCCTAGTAATATAAACAAATCTATGCCTGATTTGTTCCTGGAGGTCAGTTTTTCTGGGCCATCAACATGGGCTCTTTTGCCTGACTTGATCTGAATTCCTGGCATATGCATCAAACTGTGACAACTTCCTCAATGTTGGTATTCATTTTAGGCCAGTATAAAACATCTTTAGCCCTTCTCTGAGATTTTTCAGTCCCTAAATGACCTTCATGTATTCCTTTTAACATATTTTTCTGTCACATCTTAGGAATCACCATACTAATTTCTTTAAACAAAATTTCATCTAGGACGGAACACTTCCTCCTGACTTGGTGATAGGGACTGGGAATATGCTCTCTTGGATACGTTGTGCTAATAGCCTTAATTGCTTTCCCCAGGTTCTCATCCTGAGGTTTTGCTGTGGCAATCGCAGTCCTCTTTTCTTTTGAGACAGAGTGGGTGTTTTTATTTATTTATCAAATTGACATATACAATGTCTATCTCTGGACTTTTGTTCTTGGGAGTGTGTCTGCAACTACCAAATATCTCTCAGGTTTATATTTGTTTTGCAAATCATACATTTGTAATTGAAAAAATAATCTGTGTATTCGTGGGGGAGGGGGAGAGAGAGAGGTTGCCAGGCCTCTTTGGGCAATGGCAGTACGTGGTTAATGGTCAGTTACATGGCTTCCCATAGACTTGAAACTTTATACATCCATGTACTAAGGCCAAGGCCACCACCTCTCTCTGAGCATATTGACACTCAGTTTTTGTTAGCAGCTGTGATGCGTAGGTCACCTGTCTCCAGTTTTAACCATACTGCTGTAAGAGGACAGAACCAATGACCTGCTTGCAGAAGTCATTGGACAATTTAGTTTTGTGCTGGGCCTCATTAATTAAACAAAACATCATTAACTCCTTCAGTTTCTCAAACTCTTTATTAAAATTTGCATGCCATGTTTGTTGGAAGTCTTTGCATAGCAGCATTCTCTGGTTGTTGGTTTGGGTAGCTCAGGGATCGGCAACCTTTGGCGCGCGGCCTGCTAGGGTAAGCCTGCTGGCGGGCCGGGTCGGTTTGTTTACCTGCTGCATCCGCAGGTTCGGCCGATCACGGCTCCCACTGGCCGCGGTTCACCGCTCCAGGCCAATGGGGGCTGCGGGAAGCGGTGCGGGCCAAGGGATGTGCTGGCTGCCACTTCCCGGAGCCCCCATTGGCCTGGAACGGCGAACTGTGGCCAGTGGGACCCGCGATCGGCCAAACCTGCGGACGCGGCAGGTAAACAAACCGGCTTAGCCCACCAGGGGGCTTACCCTGGCGGGCCGCGTGCCAAAAGTTGCCAATCCCTGGGGTAGCTAATTAGGCCCAAATTTCCCTATGAAATGCACCATTCCAAAGAATCTCTATACCCTTTCCTTTTCCATTGGGCAGGCACATAAGTGATGGCCTCATACTTACTATGATCTACCTATACACCTTTCTGTGTTCTCTCACAGGTATGTTATTTCCATTACATGGAATTTGCATTTTTGTTTGTTTAGCTTTAGCCCTGGAGCTCTTGCTCTTTCCAAAGCTACCCAGAGCCTCTGGTCATGGACTTCTACTATTTTTCCCCAGATCAGATCATCTAGGTAAACCTTAATACCCTCTACAACATCAAAAATCGTTGTATTTTCCATTGAAACATCTCAGTTGCTGAACGCAATCTGAATGGTGGTCTGCAGAAACCGTGTCTTCCAAAAGGTGTGTGGAATGTGCACAAACTGTTTTTGTAAGAGCCCCTGCCAGAAACCTGCATCCAGTGTAGAAAAATATTTGGCATCAGCCACATCCCCCAAAATTTCTCCTATAGGTAGTGGAGAAATTGTTCCCTTTTTACATATTTAATTATTTTGGGTCTATATGGAACTGAAGGTTTCTCTCTTTCTCTCTTTTTTTCCTACAAAGAACAATGAGTGTACATGCTCTATTGGTTCTTCTGCTTTTTCTCTCTGGTTCCCTGAGTAATAAGCCTGTCTAGATCCTATTTTAGTCTCTGCCTTAGGGTCAGGAGAACTTTCCTAGGGGTCATGAATTGTGGGGTAGGTGCACTCTGTACTTTGTTAAGAGCTTTGCTATGATCTGCAAAATGTCCTCAAACTCTTTCTCAGTTGTTTTGGTCTCCTGTCTCTCCAATGACTGCAATCTCTTGATGAGACCAAGGGCTTGAATTAAGATACTTTTATCCCAATAATGGGCACTGGTTTTCCCGGGTACTAATTAATACAAATCTTATGGTTCCAGTTTATTTATCCGTATGTCTGGTTTGCATATCCCTTTAGTCAGGATACCTCACCAACATAAGCCCTGAGTTTTACCTGTGCACCTTCCAGTACATGTGATTTTTCTCTGCATGCTAATTTCAGCATGAAAGGAGGTCAGTTTTAAGAATTTGCTGAGGTGCCAATTTGATTTTAAAGCTGAAATCTAACAAATTAGATTTGCCAATTGAAGAAGTGTTATAGCCGATATGAGAACCCCTGTGTATTGGGTCCAGGGAGTGTTATCTTGCTATTTTCACTCTGGGTTCTTTTAATTTGAACAGTATTTTTTCTTTGAGTATTTTCACTAAGAGTGTGCCACTTCAGGTGTGCAAGCATCTCTCGAGCCAATGATTGGAGACTTTAAGCGAGTAGTGTCTGTTAGATCCACACATAAGCCTTATACCTCCTCATGGCAGACACCAAGTCTAGATAGGGGTGTGTGAATAAGCTGCCCTGAGTTCCTTCTCTACCATCTTGGCCCAAGACTGAACATTAGTGTGTCCATCTGGAGCATACATGGACTTTTCTCTTTCTTCAAAGTTAATTAGTTTTTATAGTTGTTGTTTACTTTTAGTATAGTTAGATTAGGTGAGAGAACTGTTTTCTCTCTCTTTTCTCTTGGGAGACTTCTCTTCTTCTGGCAGGGTATTCCTGGTTTGCCAGTCTTCAAACGTTTCCTCTCTTGCCGGATGCTATACCGGTAAGAAGCAACAGAGGGTCCTGTGGCACCTTTAAGACTAACAGAAGTATTGGAGTATAAGCTTTCGTGGGTGAATGCCCACTTCATCAGACGCAAGTAATGGAAATTTCCAGAGGCAGGTATAAATCAGTATGGAGATAACGAGGTTAGTTCAATCAGGGAGGGTGCTAGCAGAGCACCTCACCCTCCCTGACTGAACTAACCTCGTTATCTCCATACTGATTTATACCTGCCTCTGGAAATTTCCATTACTTGTGTCTGATGAAGTGGGCATTCACCCACGAAAGCTTATGCTCCAATACTTCTGTTAGTCTTAAAGGTGCCACAGGACCCTCTGTTGCTTTTTACAGATTCAGACTAACACGGCTACCCCTCTGATACTATACCGGTAAGGGTGCTCCAAGTGTGTCCTTTGCTTCAGGGAGTCCCACATCTCCCAGATGTGTTTCTTCTGTTTGGCCCACAACTCCAGGGCTAGGAAGAACATGGAGATAAAGCTCAGACTGTTGGCTGTGGAATGTTGCCTGAAACCACTCTCTATGCCAGATCAGGAAACCCCCCTGTACATATGTCCCCGGACAGATTAAGTGCCCTATCAACCTTAAGGCATGCTTTCCCTAAGAAAGGGAAGTTTTTGGAGCATTTCTCCCAAAAAGAGAAATGTGGACTCTATCTCTAAGGACCAGGTCCCCTTTGAGGTCTTCTGTCTTCGAGGATAAAGTTGCGACCAAGGACTCTTCCTCTGGTATGAGTAGCCTCAGAAAAAGGATCATTAGACCTTAGATTTATTTGGACTTTTTGTTATTCTGGGAGGAGTGAGGCTCTAAGTGACTTGGCCAGGGAGCTGGTTCGAAAGAAAGAACAGATCATGCAGTGGCCCAATTGACTGCTGGCAGAGGGCAACAGACAAAAGGGCTGCTATGCTATGCCTAGCCATGAGGGGACACAGTGACCTGTGCCTGGTCTGAAGCTCTCCAACTTCCAGTCATCAGGTACCTGAAAAGGCTATTGAATTTAAAACCTCCATTTAAAAATCAAGGGAGTAAAGAAAGAGCCCTCACTGCACCCAGCACCGGCGCAACCCATTAGGCGACCTAGGCAGTCACCTAGGGTGCTAACATTTGGGGGGCGGCGACCACGGCAGCCGGATCTTCGGCCGCCCCGGTCGTCGTCGGCATTTCGAGGGTGGGACCTTCCACCGCCTCTAATGGGGGCGGCATTTCGGGGGCGGGACCTTCCACCATCTAGGGCGGCAAAAAAGCTGGCGGCGCTCCTGACTGCACCCCCACTCTCCCTTGGGCTCCCAATGCTATCCAGCACTATGCTAAGTGTCTGGGAAGATGGGAGCTCTCCTGCACTGTCCCTAAGTTTCCACTGATCCCCTGCCATGTTAAGGGATCTGGATGATGATGAACAGGTTTTGCCCGTCTGCCCCCTCTGCTTCTTTGCCCTTTAACTACATGCAGAGAGAAAGGGAATTTTGGATTATTTTAGGGGTGGGGAGGGGGTGAGTGGGAGACAAAGGCCTTAGCTGGTTTGTGGTGTTGTTTTCAGGTCTGTCCATTCTCCCTTGCTGAAAAGACCCTATAAATATCAATGGGGAGCAGAAGAATCATAATAAATAGCTTTTAAAATAATGTTGTTGTTTTTTTTATCTAAATGTCAGGACATACTTATTTAGAAGATGATCTACCAGAAACTTGAACTTTGGAAATGTGTTTTTTTTTTATATCAATTTTGAGGTCCCTATAAAGTTTGACTTCATATTAGTACAGTTAATACGTCGGTCCTCTATCAAGCCTCATTCAGTTCAGCGTTCTGCCAACATATTGTTGGATTGTTGTCTGCAACATAATTTTAAGTCATTAATAGTAAGCCCTCTGCTCAGTTCCAGGAAGCACGATACACATGAGACAGAAAGTGGAAGTGACTATCACCAGAACAGCAAAAGTACAGCCAATTGCACAAAATAAACAAATAAAAAATAGATATTTTTCTGATAAATTATTTCAGCTTTAGTAGTCATGAGTGTTGTTTGTAACTATAATATGTAAACATTTTTCCAGCCTGAAATAAGATTTTTCAGATCAGCAACAGTATCCCTTTAAGGTTATGGTTTTATTCTGAGCTGCAGTGCAGCTCCTGTGGCTGAAGAGGTAAACAGGAACATAGACTGGGGAGTGACACCAGCAACATGGATTATGTGAAGGTGTAAATTTGAAAGTGTTACATGTAGATGATTTTTTTAATATTTGTGTTTTTAGATGTACCGTCCATTTGGCCTTCATGTTGTTCTGATTGGATTAGAGCTTTGGACAGAAAGGGATCTCTTTACAATCACTCACCTTTTGGATGACGTTCTTCTATTTTATTCAGATTATGTTAGAAAGTCCCTTATGGGCCGTGTACATTTTGACCACGCAGAATTAATTGTGTAAGATTATTTTATTTTAATCTTTTAAAAATATGGTAATACTGTTCTTTATAGTTATTACTGCCAATACTAAATTCAGAATTTAAAGCTATTTTGCAAGATTTTGTTTGGAAACTAGACGAAGTCCCTCCCGCAATGCTTCCATTATTCTCCTGCATAGCCCAACTGGCCATTGCAGCATTGGGTTTTTCTTTGTGTTCTGTAGCCTAAGAGGCATAAGGAGCTCAATAATCTCCACGTGTATGGGGAAATCCTCAGTTCATTCTACTTCCTATGCAACAGCATAGATGGCTTCCAGACTTCCTGACCCCCACTGGACAAAGCAAATGAGAAACCCTGCACAAATTCTAAATGTTTGGCCAGTCATACAGTTTCTTATTCAGTTTGTTTCTTGTAATTAAATGACTGCTTCTTGGAGCAGTTGGTACAGGAACCCACAAGGGGAGAGGCAATTCTCAATTTAGTCCTGAGTGGAGTGCAGGATCTGGTCCAAGAGGTAACTATAACAGGACCACTTGGAAATAGTGACCATAATATAATAACATTTAACATTGCTGTGGTGTGAAGAACACCTCAACAGCCCAACACTGTGGCATTTAATTTCAGAAAGGGGAACTATGCAAAAATTAGGAGGTTAGTTAAACAGAAATTAAAAGGTACAGTGACTAGAGTGAAATCCCTTCAAGCTGCATGGACACTTTTCAAAGACACCATAATAGAGGCCCAACTTAAATGTATACCCCAAATTAAAAAACACAGTAAAAGAACTAAAAAAGAGCCACCGTGGCTTAACAACCGTGTAAAAGAAGCAGTGAGAGATAAAAAGGCATCTTTTAAAAAGTGGAAGTCAGATCCTAGTGAGGTAAATAGAAAGGAGCATAAACACTGCCAAATTAAGTGTAAAAATGTAATAAGTGCCAAAAAGAAGAACAGCTAGCCAAAAACTCAAAGGTAATAACAAAATGTTTTTAAGTACATCAGAAGCAGGAAGCCTGTTAAACAACCAGTGGGGCCCCTGGACGATCGAGATACAAAAGGAGCACTTAAAGACGATAAAGTCGTTGCGGAGAAACTAAATGAATTCTTTGCTTCAGTCTTCACGGCTGAGGATGTTAGGGAGATTCCCAAATCTGAGCAATCCTTTGTAGGTGATAAATCTGAAGAATTGTCATAGATTGAAGTGTAACTAGAGGAGGTTTTGGAATTAATTGATAAACTTAACAGTAACAAGTCACCAGGACCAGATGGCATTCACCCAAGAGTTCTGAAAGAACTCAAATGTGAAGTTGCAGAACTATTAACTATGGTTTGTAACCTGTCCTTTAAATCAGCTTCTGTACCCAATGACTGGAAGATAGCTAATGTAACACCAATATTTAAAAAGGGCGCTAGAGGTTATCCCAGCATTTACAGACCGGTAAGTCTAACGTCAGTACCGGGCAAATTAGTTGAAACAATAGTAAAGAATAAAATTGTCAGACACATAGAAGAACATAACTTGTTGGGCAAAAGTCAACATGGTTTCTGTAAAGGGAAATCATGTCTTACTAATCTATTAGAGTTCTTTGAAGGGGTCAACAAACATGTGGACAAGGGGGATCCAGTGGATGTAGTGTACTCAGATTTCCAGAAAGCCTTTGCCAAGGTCCCTCACAAAAGGCTCTTACGTAAATTAAGTTGTCATGGGATAAGAGGGAAGATCCTTTCATGGATTGAGAACTGGTTAAAAGACAGGGAACAAAGGGTAGGAATAAATGGTAAGTTTTCAGAATGGAGAGGGATAACTAGTGGTGTTCCCCAAGGGTCAATCCTAGGACGAATCCTATTGAATTTATTCATAAATGATCTGGAGAAATGGGTAAACAGTGATGTGGTAAAGTTTGTAGATGATACTAAACTGCTGAAGATAGTTAAGACCAAAGCAGATTGTGAAGAGCTTCAAAAAGATCTCACGAAACTAAGTGATTGGGCAACAAAATGGCAAATGAAATTTAATGTTGATAAATGAAAAGTAATGCACATTGGAAAAAATAACCCCAACTATACATACAATATGATGGGGGCTAATTTAGCTACAACTAATCAGGAAAGAAATCTTGGAGTCATCGTGGATAGTTCTCTGAAGACGTCCACGCAGTGTTCAGCGGCAGTCAAAAAAGCAAAGGGGATGTTAGGAATCATTAAAAAGGGGATAGAGAATAAGATGGAGAATATCTTATTGCCCTTATATAAATCCATGGTACGTCCACATCTTGAATACTGTGTACAGATGTGGTCTCCTCATCTCAAAAAAGATATACTGGCATTAGAAAAAGTTCAGAAAAGGGCAACTAAAATGATTAGGGGTTTGGAACAGGTCCCATAGGAGGAGAGATTAAAGAGGCTAGGACTTTTCAGCTTGGAAAAGAGGAGACTAAGGAGGGATATGATAGAGGTATATAAAATCATGAGTGGTGTGGAGAAAGTGAATAAGGAAAAGTTATTTACTTGTTCCCATAATATAAGAACTAGGGGCCATCAAATGAAATTAATGGGCAGCACGTTTAAAACAAATAAAAGGAAGTTCTTCACACAGCGCACAGTCAACCTGTGGAACTCCTTGCCTGAGGAGGTTGTGAAGGCTAGGACTATAACAGGTTTAAAAGAGAACTAGATACATTCATGGAGGTTAAGTCCATTAATGGCTATTAGCCAGGATGGGTAAGGAATGGTGTCCCTAGCCTCTGTTTGTCAGAGAGTGGAAATGGATGGCAGGAGAGAGATCACTTGATCATTACCTGTTAGGTTCACTCCCTCTGGGGCACCTGGCATTGGCCACTGTCGGTAGACAGGATACTGGGCTGGATGGCTGGAGAATCCACCACAACCTTTGGAAAATGTTCCAATGGTTAACTACCCTCACTGTTAAAATATGTGCCTTCTTTCTAGTCTACATTTGCATAGCCTCAATTTCCAACCATTGGATTTTGTAATAGCTTTGTCTGCTATTCTGAAGAGCCCTCTATTATCAGATTCCAGTTGCTCATGTAGGTATGTACAGACATTGATCAAGTCACCCCTTAACCTTCTATTTGATAACCAAGACAGATTAAGCTCCTTGAATATATCTCAATAAAGCATTTTTCCATTCCTTAATTATTCTCATGGTTCTTGTCTGAATCCTCTTCAGTTTTCAACAACCTTCTTGAATTGTGGACACCAGACCTGGACAAAATATTCCACTAGCAGTTGCACCAATATCAAATACAGGGCTGATATAACCTCTCTCCTTATACTCAATGTCCCCCTGTTTATAGATGCAAGGAGCATGTTAGCCCTTTTGGTCCCACATTGCACTGGAAGCTCATGTTCAGCTGATTATCCACCATGACACCCATGTAACATATAATACAAAATCAATCCCTGTCCCAAAAGAGCTGACTATCTAAATATATGAGGAGACAACAGGTAGAGGTATTCAAAGAAACACATGGGAGGCCAAGTTTACTGTGGATTATTTGGTTAAATATTTGTACTTGATACAATAAGTAGAGGTCATCACAGGCCCACTGTGTAGCCTGCAATTGGAGACAAGCCTGTTAAAAGGCAGGATGAGTATAGAAGTGCCTTCAGTGCTTAACTCCAGAAGCAACGAAGAGCTCAAAGGGCCCATGTCAGGGCTGGTGGTTCAACAGTACCTCTGGTTTCAGCAAGGGAGTCATAATCTGTCTCCTTCTGAACAACAGCAAAAGAAGATCAAAGGTTCTCTCTCCAGTAGCACTTCTCAGGGCAGCCCATAAGAACTTTCCATTTCAGCATCCTTGGTTTCACTAACAGTCCTGGTGAGGCCTAATCCAGTGACGCAGCCATCACAAAGGTAAAGCTTTAGAAGCTATCACATATCTTGTCATTAGACTGTTTCAGCACTCTCAACCCAGCAATAGATGTTTAGTTCCTCAGACCCTGCCTCGGCTACTGTAGCTAACTGCCCGCAAAACGCCCTTCTGAATGCTGGGGCTTTGCTCCAGATAATGGTAAATCAGCCTTTTTCCCTTAAATTTCTGTCTTGTACCGGATAGATATGAACTCTGAACTGGAGGAATATGAAGAAAAGACTCAGGAAAGACTCTTCCTTCCTGATATGTCCCTGGTGATAAGGAAAGAATTTAATATTGTTCATACACAGCTGGAACCCTCTGCAGAGACAAAGACCAAGCAAGAAAACAAGGAGAGATGTCTAGATATATTTCCTTTGAACTTCAGAGAAGGGAGATGTGCGTCCCACTGTACTTCCTAGAAGACGTGAAAGTGAAAACGGAAATGCCATAATAAACCTAAATGGATCTCTAAGAAAGCTCAGAATGTGTATGCTGTGTTCAAATCTAACACTTCCCAAGGTGAATAGAGCCATTTACTTTTGTGGTAAAGGATTTAGTAATTTCACCTGAAGGGGACTTCCTCTCTCTCCTTCCTCTTTCTTGTATATATGACATCCATGCTCCATAAGTTTTCTGGCAGCAGTTGTCATCTCAGATATACTCTTTGACCCCTATGTTTTGTCTCCAAAGCACTGGCAACCAGTACAGTAGCCAGAAGACAACCTTTTGGTTTAGGTCCTGGAAGGCTGATGTTTAAGATAAACACCTTTATGGTCTCCACCAGCTAGTGGTTCTCAACCTATTTACCATTGTTAGCTGCATCCAATACTACCTGTATGACCTGAGAATGTCACATGAGCTGCAGCTCTGTGCTAATTGGCCACAAGCGGCCCGCGGACTGCAGGTTGAGAACCACTGGAAAGTCACTTAAAAACAAATCCCAATGTAGCCCAATCTATTTATTGGTGTCTGTAGATGTAGGTGGAAGAGAGAGAGAGAGCATGGCAAATGTCTCTCCCTTTTATCATGTTCTTTCTTCCCTCTTGGCTTTACCCCCCCCCCCCTTCAGAGTCAGGTGAGCATTACTTCATCGCAGTCCAAAACTGGCCAATGGAAGGGGGATGACTCACTTGATAGTCCAACAGATTCTTTTGTTGCTGTCTAGGCCAGCATACTTTGTTCCTGTGAGGCTGGGGTTTTCCCATACCTGTTCTGACGAGGTGTGAACTGCCTCTCTGCTCTTGGATAGTCTTTGCCGGGGCTTATTTTAAGCCATGAGGACACATTTTCAGCCTCATTACTACATACATGAAATTATAACCTATAACATTACTATAATATTACTGTAACAACAATGTTCAACTCTACCCTGAGCGAAATATACACTTAGTGAGGAACAACTCAATTTGATATCTTTGTGTCCCAAACTAACAGAATACTTTCTTGTTCTACTCCAGAGGTACTACGGGCCATGACTCCCAGGGCAATGCTCTCCTGTTGTCATGGAGAAACAATCTGAAATATGGCTTTCCTCCCATTCCCCTGATAAAACAGGTTCTGAGAAAGATCCATCATGACAGGACTAGAGTCATTCTCCTAGCACCCAGTTGACCTAGGCACTTTTGATTCCTAGTGCTCTTGAAAATATCAGCCTGTCCCCCAATCAGGATCCACCCCTTTCCAGACCTCCTAACTCAGGAGGGGGATAGAATCAGACACCTTAATCCGGACTCACTCTGTCTTGCGGCCTGGTGTTCGAATGGGCGTTGGAAATGGAATGCTCCTCTTCTGCACCTGTTCAGGCTGTCCATACCCAAAATAGGAAAGATTCAACTAGGACCTACTACCTACCTAAATGGAGATATTTCTCTACCTGGGTGTGGCATAATCATCCTTCTCCAGGTAATGCAGGTATTCTGGTGATTTTGGATTGTCTCTGGTCTCTGAGAAACTTAGGCCTTTCCATTCGCTCACTGCAGGTCCATCTTACAGCAATTAATGCCTTCCTCCAGTAGATGGGTATTCTGTTTTCACTCACCCAAGTACCTTTCCTCCAGTGGTCAAATCTACACCTTAATCACACTTCAATCTCATCCTGTGAACCCTCATCAGCTCATCATTTGAATCGTTGGCGAAGCCTTCCATGTCCTATCTGTCCAAAAAAGTTGCATTTTTAGTTATCACTTCGGCCAGGAGAGTAAGTGAGTTGGGAGAACTCATGGCAGACCCTTCCTTATATGGGTTTTTACAGAGAAAAGGTATCCTATTTCCTCAATTCTAATTTCCTCCCTAAGGTTATTTCTGAATTCCATATCAACCAAAGTATCCTTTTACCTATCTTTTTTTCTGAAACCCCTTGCTTCAGCTGAAGAGAAAATAATTCTTTCCCTCCATGTCAGACATGCCCTGGTCAATATGGAATCAGGGCACACTCTACAAGAGCACAAGCTGCCTCTACAGCATCCCTGAACAAAGTTCCAAAACAGGGCAGCCACCTAGAGCTCTGTCCACACGTTTGCTAGATACGAGGTGCTGGGTGAGGCCTCTGCTGCAGATGGGGCAGTGCGAACTGAAGGACTGCAAACCTCTTTGCTGCTGGCTTCATCGCACTCCAATTAGCATTGCTTGTCAATCATCCACATGTGGAATACACGTAGGGACCAGCACTCAAAGAAGAAATGGAGGTTACTCATCTGTAACTGAAGGTTATTTGAGATGTGTGTCCCTATCTGTATTCCACTTCCTGCCCTCCGTACCCTCTGCTTTGAATTCTGTTGGGTTTGCAGTAAGAAGAGGAACTGGAGAGGCATCAGCCCACACTACTTCTTATGCCCTTGGTCAGGAGCACGAGGAGGTGTTCTGCACATGAGCAGCGGACACTGCTTGTTAGAGTTTCCATACTCAGGCACAGGGTGTGCATGCAACATCCCGTGTGTGAAATACTGATAAAGACCACACATCTTAAAGAACTTCCAATTACAGGTCAGAAAATTGAGGTTACATATTTTTTAAATTTTCTAGTTAGTTTTGTTGTCTAGTTATAACCAGCCATCTGAAAGGAATTTTAGAAGTGCTGTTAGTTATAGATTTAGAATTGGAGCTGCAGCATGGATGAGGAACTAGGAGAGGGTACTAAAAGTTTTAATGTTTCTGACTCGTCAAGGTGCTGTTTGTTAACAGTGAGGTTTGGGCATCAATATCCAGGAGTTAGGAGTCCGTGTTTGAAGACACAGGAAACAAATTAAGCTGGTCAAACTTTGGATTTAGTTCCCTCAGTTTTTACATACTCTTTCAGAACCCTCTTCATGCTAGCTCTCCAAGGCCCATACCTAACCTTTAAGCATGTGATTAAATCCCATTGAACTCATTGGAATTTTACATGGGTTTAAGTACTGTGCTAAATTGGAACCTGAAAGTGCAGGCAGTCATACATAGTAAGCATACTCAGAGCCCACCAACACCCTATCATCTCAAGAGTATGTACCAGAACACTTAAAGGCAATTTCTAGAATTAAATCCCCTGTCAGATATCCTGTCACAAAGTGAAATCAGCAGCTGGAAACAAATAGATATTTTAAAACTTCCATGTGTATTTGAATTATAGAAGATTAGGGTTGGAAGTGACCTCAGGAGGTCATCTAGGTCATCATTTATCCTCACATAAGTGATTTATTTTTTAATACGGTCACTGCTCTCAGCAGAAGACACTTCAGCAAAGATATTTCCAATTGGTTCTGATAGGGCAAACATTAGCTAGTAAGTAACTCTGGATTCATGGATATTTATGTATGAGAAGATGTATTTACAAGAAGAAATTCGTATAAAAGGTCACAAGCTGGGTGTACCTGCATACTTTTACCAAACACCACAAAGTAGACTTCACCGCATTGGATGATGATGGGCCTGTCTAAGCTGCCATTTTATGTAAATACTTTCATTTTACCTTTTGTTGGACTACTGTAAACCAGTTAACCAGTAGGGAAGATAATTTGGGCCAGATCATCAGATGATCTAGATTAGTACAGTTCCATTAAAGCCAATTTATACCAGCTGAGGATCTGACCCTACCTATGTGAGAATGGGATAACCGAATTCTTCCATGTGTATTTGAATTATAGAAGATTAGGGTTGGAAGTGACCTCAGGAGGTCATCTAGGTCATCATTTGTCCTCACATAAGTGATTTATCTTTTAATACGGTCACTGCTTTCAGCAGAAGACACTTCAGCAAAGATATTTCCAATTGGTTCTGATAGGGCAAACTTTAGCTAGTAAATAACTCTGGATTCGTGGACATTTATGTAATGAGAAGATGTATTTACAAGAAGAAATTGTTTTCTTATAGATCTATATACAGATCTGATATATCACTCTTTTACTTAGACTGAATTTATTTACAACTATAGAGAACAGTTTAATATCAATTCAGTATTTTGTATCGTTTACTCTATTTTGTATTATAGGGGTGGAAGATATCGAGGGGTTGTTGGATATTCATATGGAGACCTTCTGTGCACTAGAACTCCATCAGTAGCTGTTGTCAATGTATGTGAAATATAGTCCACAATATGTACACTTCAAAAACTGATATTTTAATTAATGTAAATATTTTCTCCAGTAACAATATGCTAATAATTTATTGTTTCGTAGCACTTAAGCCCAGAACTATTAAATCATCTAGATTGCCTTCCTGTATCACAAGGCATTAAATTTCACCCAGTTATCCCTAGATAAAGTCCAATCACTTTAATCAGACCAAAGCCTTTCAGTCCTTGGATGACTAAACTGTTGTGTGCCACAGGCAGAGAACAGGATACACCAAAATACCACCAGGGCTCCTGCAATGGCAGGGAATTGACAAGGTGAGATATGCCTAGATGATCCCAGCATGTGATCCGTGCCCCATGCTGAAGAAGAAGGAGGAAAAAAAACCAAAAGTCCCTGCCAAGTAGATCTGGGGGAAAATTCCTTCCCTAAAATCTGGTGCTCAGTTGGACTGTGAGCATATGAACAAGGCATACCAGCCAATCATCTAAGAACGAGGACTCTTCAAAGTCCTGATCCACCCATCCAGTATCTCATCTCCAGTTGTGGGTAATTACATACAGTCTGATGCTTCAGAGGAAGGTGGGAAAAAACCCAGAGTACATCTGGTCAATTTTGCATTTTGGGGGCAGAAGGAAATCCTTCCTGACTCCTGCAAACAGCCAGCTGAAACCCTGAAGCATTCAATTTGATAATATTCCTTGTCCTAATGCAGAGCTGCAAGTGTTATGAGCATGTTGAGGGCAATGTGGAGCTTTCTGTTCTCTCCATGGCTTATGAAGAGAGGTAATGAACAAGGGATTCATAGATTCACAGATTTCAGAGTCAGAAGGGACCACTATGACCATGCAGGAAACCACGCACATACAAGGGCTGTAGAATCTCTCCCAGAATCTTGATTAAAGCATATCTTTTAGAAATATCTCTAATGTGATTTTAAAGACTCTAAATGATGGTAAGCTGTTCCAATGTTTAATTACCCTTTAGGCTAGAAAATGGCTTCTTATTTCAAGATTGAATTTGTTTAACTTCACCTTCCAGCCATTGGATCTTGTTATGACTTTGTCAGCAAGACTGAACCGTGTCCCCCTTTATCAGATATCTGGTCCATGTATGTGACAGGATTCCCAGGGTGCAACCTGGAACTGGGGAACTGCTGAGCCCTCTGTCCCACGAGCCTGGGCTTCCTCTCACACTGTGGTGCTGTGACAAGCTGCAAACCTTTGGCAGGTACTGCACTTACACAGACATCCAAAGGCAGGGACATACACAGATGAGTTTTATGAATGCTGCTCCCAGGCACTCATGAACTAACAATAGAGAGGCTCCAGAGAATTCCCCCCAGCTCCTCAGCCTTGCACCCAAGAGCTATATTGGCCTGCCCTGGTCAAAAGCCTGACCAGTGTAAGTTTATTACCCAGTCTACCCCGCTGCAACGTGGAGAGAACATGCACCAGCTTTTCTACCTGAGCTGAGGTTTCCCAAGCACTTCAAGCAAAATACATTGTTTTAGTTAAAATATAAAAGAGATGTATTGACTACAGAAAGATAGATTGTAAGTGATTATAAGTGTTAGGCATAAAAAGGTCAGAGATAGTTACCAAGGAAAACAAAAACTAAATCATAGACCTTATCACACTAGGCAGTATTTAGATCAGCAATTTTCTCACGCCACTGGATGTTACAGTCCTTAATATGCAGACTTCCCCATGACGCCTGGACCAGCCTCCTCTACTGACATTTTCATCTTCTCAGCGTGCTAGTTGCTTCCAGTGTAAGTGGGGAAGGATAAAGGCCAAGACATGCTGCAACTGTTCCTTATTTTATACCCTCAATCCATGTCCCTGGGAGAAATTTGACCAGACATGTTCCAGTGAGCTTTGCTGAGTCACAGTGTTCACATGCCTGGTGGGCTTTGTTGAGTCACAGTGATCAAGTATGCCTTCATTGTGTGGACTTGCGCAACTCACTGAATTGTAAATTCCTTGATTACAACTCCTCTGCTGATTAAAGGTCATGGAGCACCCTCCTGGGCGTGGGCCCTTTGTATATCATTAGCAAATTTACAGCCTATTTCAGTGACAACCATACAACAACATCTCATAACTTTATACACACTAATGATATACCTATTTGGACAGAACAACAGGTTTAAGCAGCTCATGACCTTTCATATTATACCTTACATGGCATGCTTTGTATAAAATATCACAACCATATAAGAATGATGAATATGGGGGCTACAGGGTGCTATTTTAAGGTACAGTGTGTCACAGTTTCTAAAAAACTATATGCAGCAATCAAGTCACTTCTCAACTGTCTCGTCAGTAAGCTGAATAAGTTGAGCTCCTTAAGCCGCACGTCATAAAACTTGTTCTTCTTCGAGTGCTTGCTCATATCCATTCCAGGTTAGGTGTATGCATGCCATCTGCACAGTCACCAGTGGTATCCATCAGACCAGCTCTAGCGCAGCTGGTGCTGCGTGCTCATGCACCAATATAAGAGGCCCGGCCAGCTCTTCACCTTCTCAGTTCCTTCTTACTGCCCGTAATGGTCCTTGGAACAGCTCCGCTTACTTCAGCAAACTCTTACTCACTGGTTTAGTCCTTGTCCCTATTTTTGCTATCCCAGTTCTTTATTTTCTCAGTTTGGACTGTTGTAGATTAATTATATATAGTTAGTTGGCACTTCTTGCCCTCCTAGCGGAGTTTTGTCCATACCCGGTAACGCAGCATGCTTTGGTCCATGGGTTACAAACCCTGTGCCTCCTACAGCAAGCCCATGCCTGTGAGTGACCCACACTCCAGCTGTCTGACATGCCTGGGAGAGACTCATATCATGGACTGCTGCCAGGTCTGTCAGGACTTCAAACCAAAGTACATAAGAACGGCCATACTGGGTCAGATCAAAGATCCATCTACACCAGTATCCTGTCTTCTGACAGTGGCCAATGCCAGGTGCTTCAGTGGGAAAGAACAGAACAGGTAATCATCAAGTGATCTGTCCCCTGTCGCCCATTCCCAGCATCTGGCTATGGTCACTATCCCTGCCCATCCTGGATAATAGCAATTGATGGAGCTATCCTTCATGAATTCATCTAAATTCTTTTTAAGCCCTGTTATAGTCTTGGTCTTCACAACATCCTCTGGCAAAGATTTCCAATGGTTGACTGTGTGTTGTGTAAAGAAATACTTTCTTTTATTTGTTATAAACCTGCTGCCTATTAATTTCATTTGGTGACCCCTAATTCTTGTGTTATGAGAAGAAGTAAATAACACTTCCTTATTGACTTTCTCCACACCAGTCATGCTTTTATAGACCTCTATCATATCCCCCCTTAGTCGTCTCTTTTCCAAGCTGAAAAGTCCCAATCTTATTAATCTCTCCTCAATGGAAGCTGTTCCATACCCCTAATCATTTTGTTGCCCTTTTCTGTACCTTTTCCAATTCCAATAAGACAGGAAACAACTGGTAGGACTAAATGACCAGGTTTCTGAATGGAGAGAGGTAAATAGTAGTGTCCCCCAGGGATCTGTACTGGGACAAGTACTATTCAACATATTCATAAGTGATCTGGAAAAAGGGGTAAACAGTGAGGTGGCAAAATTTGCAGATGATACAAAATTACTCAAGATAGTTAAGTCCAAAGCAGACTGCGAAGAATTACAAAGGGATCTTTCAAAACTGGATGACTGGGCAATAAAATGGCAGATGAAATTAAATGTTGATAAATGCAAAGTAATGTACATTGGAAAAAATAACCTCAACTATACACACAATATGATGGGGGCTAATTTAGCTACAACTAATCAGGAAAGATCTTGGAGTCATCATGGATAGTTCTCTGAAGACGTCCACACAGTGTGCAGGGGCAATCAAAAAAGCAAACAGGATGTTAGGAATCATTAAAAAAGGGATAGAGAATAAGATGGAGAATATCTTATTGCCCTTATATAAATCCATGATATGCCCACATCTTGAATACTGCATACAGATGTGATCTCCTCATCTCAAAAAAAGATATAGTGGCATTAGAAAAGGTTCAGAGAAGGGCAACTAAAATTATTAGGGGTTTGGAATGGGTCCCATATGAGGAGAAATTAAAGAGGCTAGGACTTTACATCTTGGAAAAGAGGAGACTAAGGGGGGATATGATAGAGATATATAAAATCATGAGTGGTGTGGAGAAAGTGAATAAGGAAAAGTTATTTACTTGTTCCCATAATATAAGAACTAGGGGCCACCAAATGAAATTAATGGGCAGCACGTTTAAAACAAATAAAAGGAAGTTCTTCACACAGCGCACAGTCAACCTTTGGAACTCCTTGCCTGAGGAGGTTGTGAAGGTTAGGACTATAAGAGGGTTTAAAAGAGAACTAGATAAATTCATCGAGGTTAAGTCCATTAATGGCTATTAGCCAGTATGGGTAAGGAATGGTGTCCCTTGCCTCTGTTTGTCAGAGAGTGGAGATGGATGGCAGGAGAGAGATCACTTGATCATTACCTGTTAGGTTCACTCCCTCTGGGGCACCTGGCATTGGCCACTGTCGGTAGACGGGATACTGGGCTGGATGGACCTTTGGTCTGACCCATTATGGCCATTCTTATGTTCTTAGGTCTCCATACAGGCCACCCTGGATGCGGCATTTTCGGCACCTAGAACCCTGGATTCTGCAGGAGTCATGCGCATATGTTCTTGGCTCCAGTCTTTGAGTCTACCAACGGATGTCCAACAGTCCATAAGGACCTTCCATTTGAACGCATTTTGCTCTTCTCCAAACAAACAGATGTCAAGCTTCATGGCCTGATGGATTCTAGAGCCATCCTCAAGTCCTTGGATCTATATGCCTTCGAGGAAACACTTCAGGCCTCAACAGCCGGTCCACTTCTCAGCTCTGCCACCATGCCCAGACCTATTTAAGAAGCAAAACAGGAGTTATAAACACAGACATCTGCCCCCGCTCACTTCAGCCTCGCTACTGGGCCCTCACAGATACTTG